TAGGGTGTAGAAGATGTCAGAATGCTATAAGAAGAAACATATGATACAATTTAGTATGTAAGCACTACTAAAATCAAGACAGTTTTCTAAAAACTGGAGCATTGTGTTTATATTTGAGTTTCAGATTTGGTCTCTTGAAAATTGGTATTTTTTAATTATCCCATTTTCAAATGTATTTTTTCAAATACAGAAATAACTCATTACATAAGTTATCATTTGCACATGGTGCTCTCATTATTGTCTGTCCATGATAAATGTTCATGTTGCCTATGAAATAGCCATCTTAAAAGTTATCATTGGGACTTTGTTTAAGTCAAAGATATAATTTATTTTACTAAGTAAGACTAAACAGTTATGATTTTAGCAAAAATGCAGAGGCATCAGTTTAATTCTTATTCAGATAAGCATTTTTGCATTTTAAAACTAAAATGCACCATAGTTTTAAAGCTTAGTAGTTAATATTACCTTTTACAGTCACTATTCATGATTCTATTGAGTCTTAGCTGAGATGAGTGATGTATTATTTCCACATCTAAAAAGGGGTTAGAAGTAACCCCTTTTTGCTTCTGTGTAGAAAAGGATGGGTTTACAAACACCCATGAAACTAAAATGGGCATTAGGAGAAGCAGAAAATAAATGTCTCTAGGCTTAGGAGTAACATGAACTTGCAATTCTACCACTTACATATCTGACACAAGACTAACTCTGTAGGAAGCAACCCTATTACAAGTATTTCCCCATTCCACACACCTAACTTGGGTAAACTGTTATTGGGTAAATTACTTAATGGATGATGTATTTTAACTATGAATACTTCACAGTGTATTTTAACACTATATGAGTTAAATCAACATATTACCAATGTGTGTGTTATTTAAAACATTAGTAGTGATAGACCAGCCTATTAAAAACTCAAAAACTCTAAATGAATGGGACCCAGCACATGCAAATTTAAGTTGAGAGAGAAAGCAAACTATTCCAATAGTTAGGAATGGCTTTCATTTAAAGGCAAAAAGGCAACGTTAAGTAAGGAGATGGGTGGGTGGAGCTAGTGTAGAAAAGGAGAGTAATGTGTGCCAACACCATTTTATTCACCCCGTTTAGGAGAATATGCAATTAAGGAAAAGGCTGGGGCAGAGGCCATGAAGAGCTACAGAGATACAGACTGGCCATGAAGGCAGAAGCTGGCTATACACCACATCACAAAAAGTTCAGTCATGAAAATTAAGGGATAAAAATTGACATTAATTAGTGTCTATGTGTCAAGAAAAATATATATGTGCCTGTATCCCTTTATATGTCTTTATAGAGGGTATGTGTACATTATATCTTGATACTATTTCTACAATGCAGGCATTATTGATCTTAATTTGCAATTATAAAAAAATTGACTTGGATAGTTCAATAACTTGCTAATGGCACACAAGAAGCAAGAAGCATAGCTAGACTGATGTCGACATTTATTACATTTTCCCATTTTCCATATGGAGACAACAACAGATATGATAGAAGCATACCAGGTGAAACATGCTATCTTTGAATGCAGATATGAAAGGCAGAAAATCGATCATTTTCCCTAGATACTTAATGTTTAAACTGACTAGAACACATTTCTCCCTACAATTGTCACTCAAGGAAGCAGGAGTAAAAATTAACATAAACCACATTTCTTTACATTTCCCCAATAGCTCCTCTGATATACACACTAATTTTAAAAAATGATAATGCTCAAAATATACCAATTGAATAAGTTGATACATGTACTTAGCTATAGTAGAAGACACAGTTAGGAATAGGTTATAGGTGGAATTATTTTGAAGATACTGAAAAGATACTCCTTCCAAAGAGAACCTTACCCTATGCTCCTTCCATGGAACTTAAAATTTCACAATAAACATGCTTGCAGCTTTTCATTGAATGTAAATACTCATAAAATTCCATTTAAAACTTTACTCCCCCAGGAAACTGCTTTCCATCTCTGGAAGGAGTATATGAGAGTGGAGAGGTGGCATAATGATAGAGAGGGACTATAGGGAGAAGAAAAAGAGATGAGGACAATCATGACTTTGTCATGCTGCTCATAGCATATCCTATTACATCACTGCACAAAAGGACATTGTGGGGAAGATGACTTCTAACCGATGGCATTATATTTGTAAGCCCATAAAGGTTGAGATTTTCCAAGTAGTTAGTTATATGAAAGTACAAATGGTGACTGGACCCGAAGGCTCAGTGATTACATCTGCTGCCTACACTGTGGTATTTTACCTTCATAGTTAATATTGCTTCTTTATTTTGCATAAATCATGTGACGTCCTGTCCTACCACTCTATGTGTAAAATTACTTACACCAGAGGGGCAAAAAAGCAATTCTCAGTCTAATTCATTTTGCAAATTTGACAGTGACATCAAAGAGCAGGAAGTTGTCTGTGAGTAACGACACTACTCATTTGTTTAAATGTCAAACCTAAACCTCATCAACTTTCAGGCAGTATGTCAGAAAAGAATGCATTTCAGTTCAACCAGAGAGGATTTCAGTGTTATTCAGTCCTGAGGAAAATAGCTGTCAGTTTCTTGACAGCTGAGTGCTTTGAGTAAATCTTTCTTTTTAGGCTGAATGGAATTGGCCATTTCAGCACTTGGGGCTGTGGATAGTGCTATCTTCCTTGACGTTATGAAACAAGTAGCCTTACTGTAGAGGTGTTTCATTCTTGAAACTAAAACTCCCCAGGCTAGCAAACATGTATCCCTAAACTATGCAATTAGGATATGGAGACTATTCATTACAAGGTCTGTGCAAGGTAAAAATGCAATAACAGCAAAGAAGAGCACATTTTACCACAAAGATGCAGCCTAAAATTGAAATAAGGAAGGCAAATAGTTACTATTCCTAGCTATTCATAAAAAAATTACTGCTTCTCTGGACAGGTTTTTGGTAAAGAGAATGACAGTGCCATTAATCCCTCATTGTACTTTATTGGCAGTGGACATTGATGCAGGGGAGAACAGGAACACATCCAATAAGCTTGCAGACAGTCAGGAGCAGAGAATCTATTCTCTATATGCTTTCTAGCTCTAGAGTGGAATAACAATAGAGAATTCTGGATCTGAGGTCAGAAAAAAATGGAACTGAATCTAAATTATGTCCCTTAATATGTCATTTTATTTCTCTAAGTCTTGTTTCTTCTTCTGGTTAATGTGGGTTATTTTGATGTTTAAGGGAGAGAATGTACATGAAGGGAACTGGCACACAGTAGGTACCTAAAATATGTTCAATTTTGATTATTCACTTATCAATAAGTGTTGGTATAATGCAGTAAAATGTTGCTATGCTGGTAGCCATGTATCTTAAGAGATGTAATCCTAAGGATGGGTAACAAAAAGAAGGAAAGCAAGATTGGGATTATTATCAACAGAATTATGCTTATAACAAGAGTCCTAATCATGTGTATTTCCACTTTTGTTTCATTTTGTTAGTATACCAAAAAGATTTCCTTTCACTTTTAAATCAACCAAAAGAAAATAGTCTAAAAATAATATCTTAAAATGTACTAAAGTTCTCAGAGGTTTCTTGTCTCCTCAGATAACATTCTACCAACTCTCTGGAGAACTCCTCTCATTCATATACTATCATCTATTCTGTCTGCTGAGTTGGTGAGAGACTACTTGGGATGATTTCTACCCAGACCAACACACTTGGTAGAGAAGGTAAAAATCAGGTTAGTGCTGAAAGTCTGACAATTTCCTTGTCAGTTTCCATTGCAGCTACAAGTTCCTTGCTTTTGACTGCAAAGCCTCCCAGCCTATCTCACCTCACTCACCTATTTCCCCTTTTATAATTGAAAATCAAGAGCAACTCCTAGCCTCCTCCATCTCCTGTCGTTTTCAGCAGAGACTTTCGCCACACTGCCCTCTGCATGTGAAAAGTCTCCCAGCCTTCTACTCCTCATTCATCAAGGTACACTCTCCTTCCATTCACAATTTATTTCAAGTCATCCCTCCCTTCCAAAGCCCCTTTTCTGGAGGAAGATTCCCCAGCTGCCCTAATACATTTCATCATCGCACTCACCATGTTGCCATCTCACCCCCTCCCCAACCCTCAGAAATTGTTTAGGGGGAGGGGAGTGGGGGTCCAGGAAACCTGTGCTTGCATACAGACCTAGACAGGGACAAATAGCCTAGCATTAAGCTTAGTCTCATCTTTGGGGAAAACAAAACAACACAACAACAACAACAAACAGTTGACATGAATAATTCCTGAGCCTGGCAACAAGCAGACTAAAAAAAAAAAAAAAATACTTGGCTGAGTGGATGCATGAATGAATGGATGGATGGATGATTGAGATCTCTGTGGTACTTTTCTCCGATGCCCCTCCTTCTTCTTGTTTCAGGCACGGTTCCTGTTTAATTCAGCTTCTATGAGTGAGTGCACTTCCCTGCTTTGCCTCCGTCTCTACTCCCTGCTGGTTCATAACCACCTCTTGACTGGAGACTAAACCTCCTCGCCAAAGGGCAATGCCACCTAGCTCACAAATGCTTTGTGACTTCCACAGTCAAAGAGAGCTTGCTCCTTAGGGATGTAGCTTTGCATTCTGCAAGCTCTGCCTCTTCCCAACCCCCCCGCCGAAACACCCAGCCACGTTACACAAAGGGATGACTGACTCCCTCACCCTCACACACACACACTCAACAAAATCCACCTGGAGATCCCTGCCGCGGCCCCTTCCCTGCGCTTGTAATCTAGGTGCTCGAAAAAGAAACGCGGTTTCCCTGTTATTCCTGCACAACAGGGAATAACCTTTCCAGGGCTCGGTCCTGGTTCGGAAAATCAGAAAACTTTTTATTATTATTATTATTTTATTAGAAAACCCCATCCGAGAGCAGCGACCTCTTTGTTTGCTTCCCAGGGGGAGGGAGGGGTCTTTTTAGAGCCTTCGCAGCTCGGGGCGGAGTAGGGGGGGGTGATGGCCCCTGGGAGGGCTGCCCCGGAGGAGACTCACCCAGGACGTTCCCAATGAGAGCCACGACGAACACGATGATGTACCCGGCGATCAGGACCCACTCATATTCTTTCGGGTGTAGGTATTCCCTCCACAGGTACCGCAGGAATTCCTCATCGTCATAGTCGGTGGGGTTTAAAAAGGGCTCTTGAGTTTCATTCAGCTCCGAAGCAGATGACCAGTTGCGACAAGGAGGGGAGTCCTCCAATTTGGTGCCGGACATCACGGGCTCGAGTCCGGTTCCGCTCAATGCTGCAAGCTCCTCTCTGCCTGCCCCATGAGCACTGGTGATTTGCGGTGGGAAAGGCTGCGCGGAGAGGCGAGAAGGGGCTCCCGAGCAGAAAATGACGTGAAAAGTTACTGAGCCAATGCCTCCGGAGCCTTCTGCCGGGCAACTTCTGCAGCGGCTTTGCTGTCTTTACAGGCGATGTTGCACCGGGAAGAGAGGCAGCTGAGAAACTAGGGACCCGGCACTGGAGGCTGCAGCAATGACACCGGGAGGAGAAAGCTACCTCCGGCTCAGCTGAAGCTCAATTACTCCTCATTCCAGCACTCAGTCCGCAGCCCACAGCCTCCTCCTGCGCTGAGGGAGAGCTGAAGCTGAAGGGGGGGGAAAAAAAAAAGTAATGAAAAGTAATTTAATCTGCTTTTTTGGGGGGGGGGAGTTAAATCTCTCTCTCTTTTTCTACTTATTTTCTCTATTTTTACGTGCACTTATTATAAACCATGCACAGACATGCATCAGTCTGTGTGGATATGACAAAAATGTAACATACAGTTAATACAGAGCATGCTGATACATTTGTCTTTGTAAAGCAAATATAAAAGTAATAAGGAGGCACCTCTGTGTTTCTCAAGCAGGACAATGGAAAAGTCATTCCAGGCAAATACTTTAACATTTAATATAAACTTATTTTAACATTTGACATTTGCCAATTTAGCACTTGCTGAGTCTTTAAGGCATCTCCGTCTTCACTTTCTCCTTAAAATTGGAGAATGATACTGTTTTTAAATTGAAGGGTCTATTTAGCTGAAATTTGTATTTGCAATAGTTAAGCGTCATATGAAATACAGCAACAAATTCTTGAAGGGTCATAAATATGATCATAGTTAATGTTGTCAAGCAAGACAGACCACCAATATACTAAACGACATTAAACATTCACTGCAGGATGTAGTAATCTAAGCAGAGGTGCTCTCTCTGGTAAATACCACACCCCATTGGGTCTTTCTTCCCATTGATTCAGGGCTGATGTTACCTGCCATTCTCTCATGCATTGGTTTTGTCTCTAATAATAAGTATTCTAGGATTTGTCAGAATGTGAATTCATGATCCTTTTATTCTTAATAAACATGGTAAAAATATCGCATTTGAGTAATTACAATCTTGCACTTGGGAAGAGCCTGGAAATCTTATCTGAACTTCAGCTTAAGAGGAGAAGCCTCCTGATAACATTGCTGATGTGTCCCCATCTAGCTTGGATTGACCACCACAATTCACTACTTCCACCCTTATAGGAGTGCTCTAAAGGTGAGAAAACTGTTTCTTACATTAAACGAAGATCTTAAGCCATGATTTGCCTTTTTGAGACTTTTACCTCTAATCCCTAGTTAGCATCTTGGTGCTACACAGAATAAATCTTCCACATGACAATGCTTCACAGACTCAAAATAAACATCACAGCTCCAGCCCTCCTTTTTATGCCCTCATGTTTCTTTTTTTAGTACTTTTTCTCAATGTTGTTCAAATGACAGTAGCTTCCACCTATATCTGTTTGGTCTTCCTTTAGACAACTGTCAATATCTTGCAAAATATGTAACTGGGATGAAGTAACAATAATATGGTTTGAGTCTTGTCAGTGCAAAAAGTACATTATTCCTTGGATGCAACCAATTTTTGTATGTAATTATTTTTTCAACACACACAAGACATTGGTGGTTTACACTGAGATTTAGTTAACTACCACATCCCCTCCTCCAGTCATAATTTCTCACATTTGTGCTTTACGGTTTATAAAATTATTTCATATGCATTTTTAAACCCCTGAGGACTTAGCTATTACTAACCCTCTTTTATAGATGAGGAAGCTGTTCCTGGTGAAATTAGATGATTTACGAAAGATCGATGGATTAGCAAAACCATCTGTTCTTTCTTCTATTTATAAAATACTTTTTGGGACCTAGTACTTCTATTATTGTATAGTTATCATGTTTTACAAGAAATATTGTTGTATTTCCCCAATCTGCACTAGCTAAATTTATTTTTACGAGAAGGGTATCAATGGGCATTTTATTATTTTACCAAATATTTCCTGAGGGTTATTTTTCCACTCTTAGTGACACAAAGTTAAACAGGTTGCTGTTTCCGTGAATTTTACTTTCTACTAAAGTTATATTTAAAAGAAAATCAACTAATAAATACATAGGGAAAACATTAGGAAGAGATATTCTATAATGAAAACCAAACAGGATGAAGTGATGATGAGTAGAAAATCCCAAAGGTTACATTAGAAATAACTGGTCAAAAAGGCTCTGTTAAGAGATGATATATAAGCAGAAGACCCAGTTGATACAATCATATATTAATTTAATTCTGTTAATTTGAAGTTTAAACAGACCTTAAATTCTAATGCTATTATACAAAACATTAGCCATTTCTCCAGACCTGTTGTCACCAGTAAATTTGACAAGCAGGCCTTCTGTGGCTTTGTTCAAGTTCATTGGTATAAATCTGCCAACTTTATACTCTGGTACAATGTCTTCCTCTGATTTATTAATATCTGCATTTTACTGCTCCATGCACTATTCATCTCAAAGTGGGAAAGGTTGTTGCAACTTATGTTCAGATCTATATTCATTAACATCTGCAAATTCCTTGTCATTGACAATCTATAAACATGGACCCAGTCTGCTATTTCCTAAGTAGTCAGTGTCATTAGCTTTCACTTTTTGGCACTTCAACTTGTCTATACTTCAGTCTTCTCTTCGTAAATCTTCTACCTACAATTAATCATCACAGTAAATTGAAGTTATAAATAAGGAGAAACGAAAATATTTTCAAGATTTTATCCTGATACCTGCTTTATGCTATGACAAGCTGAATTTATCTTGATCCTACAAATATTCCATTTCCTTCTATCTAAGATTTAGTTGGTGCTTTCTTCTAAATATGTGGTACTCCAATGTCATAAAATGTTCACTTAAATCTTCAAATTATTACTTGTTTTCTTTTTTCAAGTGCATCATAGATGATACATATTACAATACTCATTTTTGATGTGAACATCTTCCTTCGATCTTTTGATATCTTTTGAAACATAAGAAAGAAATTTCTAGTTCTTAGGTATTACTCTTCTCTTCAATTCAAATCTTTCTGCTGGATGTAGGGAAAAGGAATTAATCCATGTCACAAACATGAAAGAAAGCTCTAAATTTGTCCCGTGATATCCCCTTAAGGTTGTTAAAAGAATTAAATGAATTGATATTTTTAGACCAGTGCCTGGTATAGAAAGTAACTGGAAAATGTTTGTTAAATGACATTTAAAAAATGTGTGATATCCTACTGCAAATATTATTTGCTATACATATCAATTATTCTGTGTTAATGATAGTTAACATCAATGTACATTTCAAAATAGCTAAAAGAGAGGACTTAACATGCTGCTAACACAGAGAAATAATACTTAAGGTAATGGATACTCTAAATACTCTAGCTTCACCATTACACATCCTATGCATGTAACAAAATATCACACATACCCTATAAATATGTACAAATAGTATGTATAAATAAAAGTTAAAAAAGAAATGTAGCTCACAACATTCAGAATAATTCTGTTTAAATAACTAGGTTAAATTTTTCTTGTCACTTATTTCAGCTCTTTCACTAACTGGAATATATTAAAAATGAGGAGGAAAAAATAAATCTCAAACCCAGGATTTTTTTTTTCTTGGTGTTTATAGTTAGGTTGTTTAGAGACCTTATATATGGGCTGTCCCAGATTTTATTTTCTTATACCTGGTAAGAGATCATCTTTTTTGCAGGCCTATATTAACTTTCTATATGCATGTCAGTAAATGTACCTGAGTATCTATCGTGTGCCCAGGAGTTCAGCTAGGAGCTGGGATACAAGGATTAATAAGACTAGTCTAGCCTCAATGATCTCTCAGAACATTGGTGACCTGGAAATGTTGCCATTATTGAGAAACTCTGTGAAGGTAGAGAGATGCATAGTGGCATGAAAGCATGAAAGAAGTTGCTTGCTTTCTTTCCTTTTCTGTTGGAATGAAAATAAAATCAAGTCTGATCACTGTTGGTAATGACAATACTGAGGTTATATATTCCCAAAATAAATGCATTAGATTTGCAGGAAGTTATCTGACATCTCTAGGCTCCAAACACTACATTTTAAAAAACAATATGGTCTTCAGCTAAATTCTTCTAGAAAAGTCTCAAATCACAGGCGGTGTAGAAATTTATATAAAGGGAAAAGGGGACTCCTTATAACGTGTCACTGTACGCACTCTCAGTGGGCCGCAGAAAATGAAATAACCTTATGCCCTAAAAGATTAGGCCATGAACAATCAAAGCCACTTGACGCAAATTACTACAAACATTTGCGTCTCTCTGTCTCTTTTTCTTCCAATCTTTCTATTACCTCCCATGCCCTGTTCTATGTCTCTTCTCAGACAAAGGTCTCTCCATTCCATCCTGCCTCCTGTCCTGCGTTATTAGATCTGATATTTTCCCCTCATATTTTTATTCAACAAATACATATGAAGCTCCCATTATATTCCTATATCATGTTGCACATAGATAAACACTGTTCCTGTCTTATTCAGTGTGTCATGAAAAGCACACAGTAGCGGGCAAATAATTTCGGTCAGTAAAGCAAATGCCCTAAGGTGTACACCTAAAAAAGTCTGAAAATGCAAGCAGAAGAGACATCTATTTTTCCAAAGTGGCAGCAATAAAACCATATGGAAAACACATTGTCTAAGCTGAGAACTGAAGAATGAATGGTAACCAGATTATGGGAAGTGAGAGAGGCAGCTGGTGCCAGACAGAAGTAAGTAACTTTCTGTGAGACAAGCAATGTTAGCACTCATTGAGAGATTACATGGGCCAAGCTCTGTGCCAAGTACCTTACATACATTAACTCAAGTGATCTTCACAACTCTAGGAGGAAGATTTTATGAATTACTATTCCAATTTTCCAGGCTGGGCAATTTAGTGTGACACTATCTCTATGAAAAACTTAAAAAAAAAATACCCAGACATGGTGGCATGTGCCTGTGTTCCTAGCCATCTGGGAGACTGAAGAGGGAGAATCACTTGAACTCAGGAGGCTGAGGCTGCAGTGAGCTGTGGTCACACCACTGGACTCCAACCTGGGCAACAGAATGAGACACTGTCTCAAAAAAAGCATACATTATTCCAATTTTACAAATGAAGAAATTGACACACAAAGAAGTTAAGTAACTTGCCCAAGGTCATATAGCTAGAAAGTGGTGGACGGTTTAAGCAGAGTTGTCAAGATCCAGTTTCAGAAATAAGCTTTTTGCTGTTACTCTATTCTGTTTCCACAGTGAATAACCAAAATGTTTTCAATTTTCCAGCTGTGTCCTTTACTAATGATAGTTTTAATTCTTAACAAAAACATTTGTAAAATTATATAAATTTTGCATATTTAAAAAACATCCAGTTGTATTTTAAATAGTACTGAAGAGGAGAATTTTGGGGGAACTTGTTATACTCTTCAAGATGACATCTCCCCCAAAGAGAATCAATCTCCTTCTATATTCTCTGAGATAAAGATATTTGTTTTTCTCCTAAGGGCATAAATGTTTTCTCATTCGTCTTTGTATCCCCAAACTTAACACGTACTTTGCATTTAGCTGTTGGTCAATCACTACTTGTTGATCAGGCCTGAACTCAATTGAAGGGAGGAATTCCTTCTTCAATCAGTGACTATTTTTTGAAAAATATACATACATGTCACCTTTGTTTATGTAACACCAAGGAAATTCCTGGATATGTATATTTTTACCTATTACTAAATGTTTAGACTGGAGATGGA